CAGGTCGTTTGCCGCTGCCCTGGGCGGCCCCCCGCCGCGTGCATGGCCTCGGCGCGCTGTTTGCAGCGGAAGCTGAACCAGGTGTGTAGGTCCGCCCGCGCGCGGGATCGGGCTCCGACACTTCGCAGCATGGCTTGTGCTCGGTGCTGCCTTTCAGCAGCTGCGGCTGCCTTAGCAGCAAGCTTCAGCGAAGGCGGACCCAGGTGCGTAGGTTCGCCCACTCACGGGATCTGCTCTGCCCATGGGCAATGCAACCAGTCCTGTGTGGGGCCTTGAGCCGATGGACACGTTGCTCTGCTGATGGGTCTCGTCTGTGCTGCTCTCGCCTTCTTTTTTGCGGCGCGCTCCGTGCCCTGGCTCTGTCTCTTGCCCCCCCCTCCCTTTCGGTCGCCCTGTCTGGCGGCGCTGGTGCTTCGCAGCCAGCCCTGGAACTCGGGCCGCGGGGTTCCGCCAGACGGGCGATTATTTGCTCTGCCCTTGGCAGGCCGTTTGGCGGCGCTGGTGTCTCGCAGCCAGCCCTGGAACACGCGCCCCGGGGTTCCGCCAGTCGGGGGGCGGCGTGAATTTCTTCCTCTGGGAAGGGGGGGGCTCGGCGCGGAGGCGGCCTAGGTTTGCCGGGCCGCTTCGACCGTCGCCGCGCCCCCCCCCCCCCCCCCCGCCTTATTGTTTGCGTCTGGCGAGGTCGCCTGCCTTGGCCAAGGTCGCAGGCTCAGTGACCATGCAGGCCCTCTTCAGGGGTTCTTTTTGGAGGCTGACCCAGGTGCGAAGGTCCGCCTCTCTCGGGAACGCGCTCCTCACCCTCAGCAATGCAACTAGTCAGTCTGTGGGGCCTGGTGCCAGTCGACGGATTGTTCTGCTGAAGGGAGGGGCAGTCGTGTTTGCCTCCGTCTCGGCGTGCATGCGCGCCTCTGCTCAACGTAGCCGCTGGCGCGTTTCGCGTCAGTGCCCGCCCGCCCCTCGACGTGTAGGGCGACCCGAGAGCGTGGGTCCGTCCGCGCTCTGGTACGATCTCCGCAGGTCTGAGGAGCAACGTCGGTCAGGCGTGGCTTGTGCCTAAGGGTCTAGTTGCTTCTGCGGCGCGGCGTACAGATCAGCTGCGCCCCAGCATGCCTGACCGCGCAGCGTGGCCATGCCAACTGCCGTGCGTGCTGAGTCGATTCGATTGCTTTGTGCGGTCACCCGCTTGCCTCGGCTGTGGCGGTTGATTGCTCTCGGCACTCGGGCGATCCGCGCGTGTGCGCCGAGGCGCACGAGACCGAGAGTTGCCGCCGCAGGGCCAAAGGGAACCGCCTCGGTCCGAGGGGCAGCACGAGCTAGGAGTTCCTGGCCCCTTTAGACGCGGGGATTATCATCATCATCATCACCATCATCATCATCATCATTATCATTACCATCAGCACCATCATTCTCAGCATCATCATCATCGTGGCCGTCATCATCATCACCAGCGCCATCGCCACCATCATCGTCGTCGTCTTCCTCACAACCCTCGCACGCTTCGTGGCCCCATAGGGGGCTCCACCTCGGGTCCCACTGGCGCAGTCCGCACGGCGGCGCCGCCCCATTTTGGCACACCCCTCGCACGCTTCGTGGTCCCATAGGTAGCTCCTCCTTAGGTCCCAGCGGCGCAGTCCGCACAGCGGCGCCGCCCCATTGTGGCACACCCCTCGCACGTTTCGCGGCCCCATAGGGAGCTCCACCTCAGGTCCCAGCGGCGCAGTCCGCACGGCGGCGCCGAACCCATTTTGGCACACCCCTCGCACGCTTCGCGGCCCCATAGGGAGCTCTACCCCAGGTCCCAGTGGCGCAGTCCGCATGGCGGCGCCGCCCCATTTTGGCACACCACCCGCGCGCCTCGTGGCTGCATAGGGAGCTCCACGCAAGGTCCCAGTGGCGCAATCCGCATCGCGCTGCCGCTTCATTTTGGCACCCGTCACACGCGCTTCGTGGCCCCATGAGGAGATCCATCGACAGCGATACTAACAACGACGGCATTCACAACTGCATATGGTTGGGTCTTTCGCCAGGCTAGGCGTGCCTCCTGGGAGGCTCTTGTCGCCACCGCTGGATTCTCGTTGAAATTCGGGTCAGCACGCATCCCGGGAGTGGTCCGGGGAACAGGGACTTGTTTTCGTTTCCGCACACAACGACGACGACGATCGAAGAGGAAGGGGGCCGCCGCCGCCGTCGCATAGGCGATGCACGCGCGATCTAAAGCATAATGAAATTGAGCCGCAGGCGAATCATGATCGGATGAATTAAACTCAACGGAATCAAACCCGATGAATTTATACCGGGCGAAATATGACCAGAATAATTACAGACCCCGGCGAATTCAACCGGATAAATTCAAATTGGGCGAACGAAATCCGGACGAATCTAAACGGACGTTTTATAAACGGATGAATTTTAATTCGACGAATCATAACCCGATGAAATCTTCAACGGACGAATTGTTACCAGATAAATTGAAGCAGGACGATGCAAAACCGGACGGTTTTCGACCGGATGAAATTGAATCTGACGAGTTCCAATTGGGCAAGTTATAAGGTGATCAAATATTTCGGGCGAGCGAAACAAAAGGCACATCCAAATCGGATACATCTAAATTGAACGAATTAAAACTGGATGAATTTCTAATCTAGGCGAAAACAAAACGAAATAATTCAAACCCAGGCGAATTTTAACTGGATGAATTCTAACCGGATGACATTGAACGGTTGACAGTCCATTGATGAGTTTAAACGGGTGAAGTTGAACGGATGAACCAAAACGGGTGATACTACATCCGGTTGCAATACAGGAGAATGTTGCCAGGCATTTGTATTTAGCATGTCGAGTTGTCGGATTTGGCGTACTATGCTTCGGCACTGTCCAGCTTCCAAGCATTCACGTTTCGAGTTTTTCCCAGCCCGTTCCGCGGAACAGGGCGATATGCCATCATGCATAGCGTCGTCGCCGCGACGCGCTAAGCAGAAGGTCCAAACCATATGGGGAGGAACAAAATTAATGGAGAGGAAAAGGCGGGGGATAATGAGAGGGGCTGGAGCCCTCTTCTCACACGCTTCCCCAAGCTTCCTTGTACCTCGGCCTCGGTGCCGACAACGATTACCAGACCGCCGCTTTCCCGAGCGATCAGGCTTGGAATGATGGCGCGTTTCAACACAGGGCGAAAGCTGTAGTAGCCCATGGGGGCCAGCCTTCAGAGGTTCAACAGAGGGCAGCAATTGCCTCCGCCATGCACGCCACTCATGATTAGCGCTGCCTGGTAGGAGCTGCGTCTCTCAGGTTGGTCAGTTCTCCCCCCTCACTCGTCCCCCTCTCTCCTGAGCCTTTCCCGTAACCGCTCCTCATCCTACCCGCCCCCACACGCGCGGGGATGCAGCGAGGGAGGGGAGGAGGAGGAGGAGGAGGAGGAGGAGGAGGAGGAGGAGGAGGAAGAAGATGAGGAGGAGGAGGAGGAGGACGAGGAGAATTAGCAGGATGAGGGAGGAGGAAGAGGAAAGGATGAACGATGGCGCACCAGTTCGAACACTGTTCCAGTCCGCGGGATGCAAGCTCCCGCCAGGTCAATCTCGAAAAGCGGGAGGTGTCGCTTGTGAGAAAGAGAGGTGGGGAGATTATCTCCCTCCCTGGCGCGGTCTGTGGGGACCCGACTGGAAAGCAAAAACGGGACGTGTTGATAAGGGCGAGGTTCACCCCTTCTGCACTCCCGCAGACAGAGAGACCCCGGCTGTACACACGCTTTGGCCTGCGTGGTACGGTGCCCAGGGCAACGACGGCGCCATCTTGGGGCATCCCCTGCGGCGGCCCATGAAGAAGGAAACGGAACATGTGCCAGTTGTTCTTGGAGTCTTGTTGGAGAGATGAGGCGCTAGCACTGGTGTGCCGCGTTTTGAGCAGCAGGGTATGCCTGGAGGGATGCCCCGAGAGGAACAGCAGGTCGGAACGTTTGCCGAAGGCCGTCCCAGGCAGCTTGTGCTCGATGGAGCTTGTCTAGCAGCGGGGCAGCCTCTTCCTGGATGTGCTGGAGAGAGTGGGCTAGGTGGTTGGCCCGCTGCTGGAGCGCGTTGCTGCTAGCGATGAGGATCGTTTCGCGATCATCCTCTGGCTGTCGTCTGGTCGCTGAGAGGTGCTGCGTAAGGGATTGCCTTCGGTCCGTTCGCTGGGTCCGCGTCCCACAGGGGCCTGTTCCGTCGTCGGTCACTGTCCGTTCGCTGCTCCCCGTGCCCTGGTGGGAGAAGGAGGTGGCCTGGTGGTGAGGGAGACTCGCAGTGGCGCCTGATTATGTTGACCGCGGGCGGCTTGCACCTGGCCGTCGGAGAGTCGCGGATGACACGCGACGCGCCGTGGTGAGCGTCGTGATCGCTGTGCCCGTCACTGTTGGGACCTTCGGAGGGAGAAGCCTCATTTATTCCATGTTCGTTCAGGGAGGCGCCTAGCCCGAGCGGGTCTGCTTCTCGCCGCCGAAGTCATCGAACAGGCCCGTCCATGGATCATCGACGTGATCGAAGTAGTCGGGCCCTAGTGGACCGTCGAGATGTGAGCCTGGTGGCTCGTGGCCGCCGTGACCACTGTTGAGAGGGTTGGGCTGCATCTTGATAAGTTCAGACCCTGGGTCGCCCCGCAATTTTGTCTGGCAGGGTAAACGCTTGGTGACGCTGGTCATAGATCGCGAAAGCCGTGCTGTGGAGGACGGCAGCGAACGGGTATCGCCATTTAGCTGCGTCGACGAGGCTTTGTGCTGTTCAGGCGTGCGCCGGCCGTGGCGGGTTCATTTGCGTGGCGGTTGAATGCGTCGGCGATCGGCGTGATACACCCCTCGTTGGTGCTTTGTTCGTGCTTTGTTCGGAATGGATGAAAGATGAGAAGCAGGAGGAGGATGAGGAGGAGGAGGAGGAGGGCAGGGGCAACAGGAGGAGAAGGAGGAGGAGGAGGAGGGAGAGGTGGAGGACGTGTTGGGACTGCTGACGCCCACCCCCCTCCACCACCCTCGCCAGGACTGCGAGGTCTCCGGGTGGACTCCCGAGGACTGCACCGCGGATTGCGGCGGGGGGGTGCAGAACGTGAGCCGCTCCGTGGTGGTGCCCCAGAGCGGTGGCGCGGCCTGCCCGCCGCTGATGATGCAGAGGCCTGCTGGGGGAACCTGTCGGGTCTGGGGGGGACCTCGACGAGGATCGGGTTGGGGGATTCCGAGGATCAGAGGAGAGGGTCGAGCGTCGAGGTTTTGTGGACGTCATTGTGCCGTGCGTGGCCTTCCCAGGATTGCTCTCGTGGCCGTGGTGCGCCCCAGGTGAGGTCTGCCGAGAGATTGGGGGGAGGCGGGCCTCAGACCCCCAACCGCTCGAAAAAAATCTTGACGGTTCGCATATCCCCACCAGCCCATCCAGAAATTGCCCAGGGAAGTTGAGGTGGTCAGGGAAATGGGGGAGCATGTAGAAGAAGAACAAGAAGAAGACAGGGCGAGGGAAGCCGTCCGATGTTTTGGAGGGAGAGGAGGGAGGAGGGAGGAGGAGGAGGAGTCGGCGGATGAGGAGGATGAAACCTCGAAGTCAAATCAATGAAATCATACAGTCAAGTAGTTATTTCGCGTATGACTCACCGTTCAAAGTTGGCGTGGAGGCGTGTGGTGCCTCCCTTGAAGTGTCGGCCAGACGTAAGGTGCCCGGGCCTTAATGTTTGGGGGACCTATGGTGTCCCACTTTGCCCACCCCGTCCCGCACACAGGGACTTCGCACCCTCCCCTATGGTGGGAGAGTGTGTGTGCGGGCCGCCCTGCCCCCCCCTGACGCCGCACGCACTGCGCCAGGGGTGGTGGGAATTTCCATTGAAGGCAATGAGTTCCATGAAGTCCCTCTCGCCCGTCCCCCCCGCCCACACCTGGTCGCCGTTGAAAGCCCTATGGTGGCCTCCGGTGCGGTCGGGTGGCATCGCCTATGGTTGCTGATGCACACGGCCCGCTGCCGAACCCTACGGTGGCTCTGGTCAGGGGGACGGCGCAAAAGGAGCGAGGCGGTCCACAGGCGGGGAGTCACGCCGCAGCCGCCGCCACCTCGCGGCGTCACGCCCCCGTCGAACACCTCGCTCTTATTTCCCCGAGGAGGAGGGAGGAGTGAGTGAGGAGGAGGGAGGAAGGAGAAGGGAAGGCGGGACAGGGGAAACAAAGCAGAAGGGGCGGAGGAGGAAGAAGCCGTCCCAAAAACGTACCCTCCCTTCTCCATTGAAGTCCATGAGTTTACTGGAGTCTACGCTGGGCACTAGACGACCAGCAGGGGATGCAAGTCCCGTTCACGGTCCAAGAGGTTGAATCTTCGAAGTCGATGAATGCATACAGCCAATTTGTTATTTCGCGTATGACGCAAAGTTCAAGGTTGGTGGGGAGGCGTGTGGTGTTTCCCCTGAAGTGTCGGCCAGGCGTATGGTGTCCGGGCCTTACTGTTTGGGGGACCTATGGTGTCCCACTTTGCCCACCCCGTCCCGCACACAGAAACTTCGCACCCTCCCCTATTGTGGGAGAGTTGGCGTGCGCCCCCCACCCCTGACGCCGCACGCACTGCGCCAGGGGTGGTGTGGATTTCCATTGAAGGCAATGAGTTCCATGATGTCCCTCTCGCCCGTCCCCCCCACCTATGGAGGAGAAGGGCGAGGAAGAGGAAGAGGACGGGGAGGTGCAGGAAGAGGAGAAGGAGGAGGAGGAAAAGAAGGAGGAGGAGACGGAAAAAGGGACGAACATGAATGCCTCCTCGGATGTCTCGTTGGAGTTTTCTGGAGGCCTCCTGGATCGTCTGGGAGGCATCTTGGGATCCTCTTGAAGCCTCTTGGGGGCCTCTTGGGAGCCTCTTAGAGGCATCTTGGGCGCCTCTTGGAGCCGTCTAGGCGCCTGTTGGGGCCCTCTTGGGGCTCTCCTGGGTGCCTTGGGAGCGCTCTTCGGGCCATCTTGGAGGACATCGATCAAACAAGTGCGGGTTCTCCATTCTAGAGTGGGCCCCTCTTGGGCACCTCTTGGGGCGCTCTTGGAGCGCTCATGGGCGCTCTTGGGGCCGTCTTGCGGCTCTCTTGGGCCCATCTTTGGGCCCTCTTGGAGCCATCTTGAGACCTCGGAATGCCATCAGAAGCGGAAGAGCGATAAAGCCAACACCATACATTTTACCCAGGTTGTGGACGGATGTCGGTCTCTTCGGGGTTTCTTTGGGGAGCTTTTTGGCAACTTGGAGCCGTCTTGGAGCGGTCTTGGGGCCTCTTGGAGCATCTTGGGGGCCATCTTCAGGGATCTTTGGGTATGTTGAGCCATCTTGGAACTCATCTTGGTCTCTCCGAGGCGCTCTTGGAGCCATCTTGGGCCATCTTGGACGCTCCAACCCCTCGCGGGACCTCCCGTCCAGGTCAGGAGAGGGGGGGGATTAAGCTACCCAACCGCCCGCAAACCGTCTAGCTCACTCCCACCCGCCATCCCAGCACATAGTAGCACCCGAGCCTCGGCATGTTCAGCGCTCGTTTGTGGATGGGCAGCTACTGGGAACCAACTTCGACCCCATGTGCGCGACGCTGGGGCCAGAGCGTGCCAGGCACGTCTGGTGCACCAGATGCGCCACGTGCTCCACGGAGGTGCGCCACGTGTGCCAGGGGCGCCACGCGCGCCAGGCACCCCTGGGGCACGAGTGCGCCAGGTGTGCCGCGCATTCCTGCCGCGCCAGGGGGCACGTGCAGAGTGCGTCAGGTGCGCCTGCGCACGTGACAGCACACGTCGGGAAACATGTCGGCCCCCGCCATCCTTGTCGAAAACCAATGCCCATCATTATGTCTGGTGGGCTTGCGCGCAGCAGGCCACTCGCCACCCCCCCCGCCGTCCCTGTTAAAAACCATTTGACAGTGATCGCGGGATGGCCGCGCACGATCCAGATTCAGCCGCGATATTCATGTTGTATTGTTTTTTGGTCAGGGATGGTATCCCTGCGCACGGCAGGGAGTAGTCTGGCACCCCCGCCGTCCTTGTCAAAAACAATACAAAGTGTTCGCGGGCCTCACGAACATGATTCAAGCCTTTGCCCGAAAGTGTACTTTGCATTGTTTTGTTGGCAGGGATGGTGGTGGGGGGGCGCATCGGATTGGCCGCGCATGCTCCAAATGTGGAGGCAGAGTGCGCTTCGCATTGTTTTTTCGAAGAGGTGGTGGAGGATGGGCCCTCATGGACTCTGCATGCTCCCTGGTTGGACGCCGGCTGGGTGGGGGAAGGGGTGTATATTAACGCGGAACAGTGGTACACCCCTTCCCCAAGGGGAAGAGGGGCATTTGGAAGACAAGGCGCGGTAGACCACCAATGCCCGAAAGGGTTGGTGGGATTAGAACGCGGCTTTAGGCCTGACGTTGTTGGTCTCCGGGGCGCCGCTATCGGGCTACAGGGCCAGCCACTCAGGGTGAAGATGTGGCCCCTTGGGAAGAGGTTGGAGGTGTCGGGGCACGCGCATGGACAACATCAGGACGGGATGTATCTCACCCTTTTGGGGGGCCTCTTGGGGCACCCTCACCGCCACGATCGGGTCTCGGGTCCGCCTCGCCACTCTGGTCGCACTACAACTCAGGAGAGGTCTTGGGTCCGTCCGTAGTCGCCGCCGTAGGGCGGAGTGGGATTTACACGTTTTTGTTTTTCATCGTTGTGCCTCTTGGGTAGCTTTCTTGGCTACAGCTAAGCAAGGCGCGAAACACTACGCGGGATGGCGTCGAGGAAGGGTCTGGGGCCCGATTTTGAAAAAAGTGGTCGGGCCGACCAATACTGCAAGGGTAACGGCCAGTTTTGTCCAGGTGCGTGGCCTGGGATGACACATCTGTCACAGGTAAGGGGTCCATAAGTTCCAAGGGCCGAGGGGTACAGGGCCAGCGACTGCAAACAAAAAGTAGTCGGAGGTCTGGGAGCCTCCAAATCGAGGAAAAGGATTCAAGAGTCACAGTTTCCGTTGTTGTTTTCCTAGTTGTCCTCCACATCCTAAGTGTTTGTTGGTTTTCTTTGGGTACCCCGCGCAGGAACACACCCGCATCACCATTACACTCATGGGTCTCGCCGTCATCATCGTCATCACCATGCAGCATGGACCATGCAATCGCTCACGCTCACACACTCACTCACAATCACCATTCATCATCGTCATCATTCATCTTGGCCATACACTCACACACTCACGTACACACCTGAAGAGACGTCTCGTGCGGGAATCCCCTCCCTGAGGGGCCCGCGCTTCATGTTGGTAATCCGAACGCTTCATCTGGATATTCTACCAGGCGTAGCACTTGAGCACCCCAATGGAGCCAAATCGTGAGGATGCCTCGGGTGGGGGCCTCTTCTGTGTTTGAATTGCGAGGACGTCTCAGGCCGCAACCCCCTCTCTATGGAGCCCGCACTCCATGTCAGTAATCCGAGCGGGTCATCGGGAGATTCTGTCGGGCGCAGCACTTGATCATTCCAAGGGGACAGATCGTGAGAATGTCTCGAGCGGAGGACTTCATCTATGAGTGAATTGCAAGGAACTGTCAGGCGGCAGACCCCTCCCTGTGGAGCCCGCACTTCATGTTAGTAATCCGAGCGGGCCGTCGATAGATTCTACAAGGCGTAGCACTGGAGCACCCCATGGCGGCAGATCGTGAGGATGCCTTAAGCGGGGACCTCGTGTGTGAGTGAATTGTGAAGGCCTCTCGCGTGTGAGCCCATGATGGTAATCCGAGCGGGTCGTCGGGATATCTCACCAGGCGTAGCACTTGAGCACCCCAAGGGAGGTCCGAGGACGTCTCGAGCGAGAGCCCCTTCCCTATGGGGCCCGCTTGTCATCGGAATAGATCCTACCAGGCATAGCACTTGAGCACCCCAAGGGGGCAAATCGCATTGATGATTTGACCGGGGGCCTCGTTTGCGCGTGTGAATTGCGAGGAAGTCTTAGGCGGGAGCTCCCTTTCTAGGGGGCCAGCAGCTCTTATTAGCAATCCAAACGGGTCATCGGGATATTCTACCGCGTTGCACTTGAGCACCACAAGGCGTTCAATCGTGAGGATGTCTCGAGCGGGGGCCTCGTTTGTGTTCGAAGTGCGAGGAACTCTCAGACGGGGGGCCCCTCCTTATTGGGCCCGCAGAGCACGTTAGCCTTCCGAGCGGGTCATTGGATCATTGCAGCAGGCATCGCACTTGAGCACTCAAAGGGGACAGCTCGTTTGGACGTCTCGAGAGGGGGGCTTCGTTTGTGAGTGAATTGCGAGGAAGTCTCAGGCGGGAGTCCCGTCAGTATGGGGCCCGCAGATTATGCTAGTAATCCGAACGAGTCACCGGCCTATTGTAGCAGGCCTATCACTTGTGCATCCCAAAGGCGCAAATCGTGAGGATGTCTCGAGCGGGGGCCTCGCCTGTGAGCGCATAGCGAGGAAGTCTCAAGCGGGACCCCCCACCTTATGGGGTTCGCAGGATCAACAAGTTCCACAGGTCGTACGGCGCATTCTGGTTTCCTCGCATCGTGGCAGCATCTTCATCGTCGATAGTAGTCGGTGGAGGTGAGCTTGATCCACATTGAAGAGTTTATCATGGGGGGTTCTTCCGTTAAAATCATTTTGGCCTCGGGGGGGTGCCCTCCTCGCCACTGCTGGATTGGCCTCGTCTTCCTCTTCACAGGGCGCTCCAGGACAATCCCCTGGGCTCGATTTTGGAGGCGCGGACGTGGGCGTCAGGGGCCAGCAGGGGCGGTGTCTGGCGCACATTTCTCTGCACAGGGAAGCTGAAAAAACTGCCAGGGCCAGGCCCTCCTACTTTCTCCGGCCCTGGCCAGTCTCCCTCTAGCTGTTCTAGTCCTGGCGACCTCATCCCAACTACTTCGTGATCGTTTCGACCCCTGCCAGTTTTGCCAGGCCTCACGACCTCCATGTTTAACGCTTTCATGTTTAACGCTGTCATGTTTAACGCTTGTAGGTTCCCGGGAGCTTCCCGCGACATCTTGGTGGCTGGGGCCCCGCGGAGCTCGGCGAACAGTCTTCAGATCGGGGGCGCTCTTTCAGCCTCTCGTGGGCCGCGCCACGATTCAGAACCCTCCACATCCGGAGGGGGAGGGGGGGGCGGGGGCGTCCTCCGCCCCCCTCTCTCGTTCCGAGACCTCCGCTCCTCCCGACGCGCCCTCCCATCCCCGGCATGAAGAAACAAGGTCCTGAGGGAGAGAGGTCCTGCGGTTCGGCATCTGGATCAAAGAACAAATCATTATCGATGAGGATTGTCCCAGGGGAGAGCCACAGGGGTTCAGGCCCGTTTCTTCCATGGCAGCTCCCCGCCAGTTCCCGCTCTCTCCTGATCCTCCCTCCCCCTCTGCCCCCCCCCCTTTCCCTCCCTCCACCTCCCGTCCACCTCCCCCTTCCCTCACTTCTCCTCCTCCCCAGCCTGGGAAACTTTAGAGAAACATCTGGTATGAGGGTCGGTGCAGAAACGACACGGCGGGGGCCCCTGGATCGGGCCCGCGCGCCCCCAAGAGGTCACCGCAAAGAGGGCAGGTCGAGAGCCTGGAGGTTATAATGTCTTTCAATTGGGTTTCGTCGGCGTTCGTTATACTCGCACCCTTTCATACGTGTCGGTAGATTTTCGTTACGTGTTGAAGGTTTTCTCGCCTCGGCATGCTTTCCAGCAGTTGCGAGTCGCCAGCAGCGATCTTGGGGTGCCCAGATCGTCCCGAACGGCCCCTTGACACTTGCGTTATGACCAGAAAACCGTTTTTTGGATGATTATCGTTTCAATCGCGAGTGGTGTTTTCATCTTTGTTTCTGGGCGGCTGTTTTCGGGGGCCGCGGATGGGACAAATCACAATGTCGGAAGTCTGGGCCCACGGCTTTGTGGCTTCAATTCAGAGGCGCTGCAACGAGCAGCCCTGCCCAATGGACTGCAAGCTCGACGACTGGGGCGGCTGGAGCGCCTGCAGTGCTGGCTGCGGCGGTGGCATCACGGAGCGTGTGCGGGGCATCCAGTCGCAGCCCAAGCACGGGGGCAAGCCTTGCGGGTCTACGTTTGAGAGCAAGAGTTGCAATGCGGAGGCATGTGACCCTGATTGCGTGCTCTCCGAGTGGACAGGGTGGTCAGAGTGCTCCAAGCAGTGCGACGTGGGCTTCAAGGAGAGGGAGCGCACACTGCTGACGCCCGCAGGGGGCCAGGGAGGCTGCCCAGCCGAGGATTCCCTCGACCGCCTTGAGTACATGCACTGCAACACGCACGCGTGCGTACCTGCACACGGCGACAGTCTCAGGTGCAGCTGGTTGTGATTGCCGTGATGCCCAGTCAAGGCAATAACAAAATAATACGTACAGAATATCGGAGGTACATTCCGAACAGTTCAGTGAGTCAGCGCGATGTTTGTTGCGACCGATAAATGTTTCCACGTTCGCAGTTCATCCCCCATCCGTGCAGAGCTTGGGCATGCTTTCCTGATGTGGGGGCCGAAGACATCTGGGGAGCTTGAGACAGGGACTCGCATTCGGCGCGTCTCGCCTTCGGCGGAAAGTGTCGGAAGTAAAACGTCGGTGAGTCTGCCGGCGGAAGTCGGCGGCGGAGGCAAAGTGATACGTCAACATGGTGTTATTCAGGGTTTCTGACGTCGACCATGTGAGGCCATCTCTTCTTGCAGGTCTGGCGCTGTGGGCCTGCTCTCGCGACCGAGCCAGGGCTCGAATGACATCGCCAGGCCAGTTTCGGGCACGGGCTCAGGTAGTGCCAATTTGCAGGATTCTCCTCCGCGGCCGCCGCCTCATCTATACGTAGCACCCGGCAGTTGCGGATAAGAGTGAGGGGGCAACGAGGACGTCAGTTTGCGAGGCTCTGAAAAAGCCCGACGCAGCGCCTGACTTATACAATGTATGCAGTGAGCCAGGCGCAGGCGCCGATTTTTTCGTTAAAGCAATATGGGTGGATCGCGGGGTGGATCGCGGGTGGGTAGCGTATGGGTCGCGGACCGGTTCGCGGGTGGGTCAGTGTGGGTCGTGGGTGGGTCGCGGGTGGGTCGCGGGTGGGTCGCGGGGTGGGTCGCGTATGGGTCGCGGGGTGGGTCGCGGGGTGGATCGCGGGGTGGGTCGCGGGGTGGGTCGCGGGGTAGGTCGCGGGTGGGTCGCGGGGTGGGTCTCGGGGTGGGTTGCGGGTGGGTCTCGGGCGGGTCACGGGGTGGGTCGCGGGGTGGGTCGCGTATGGGTCGCGGGGTGGGTCGCGGGGTAGGTCGCGGAGTGGGTCGCGGGGTGGGTCGCGGGGGGTGGGTCGCGGGTGGGTCGCGGGCGGGTCGCGGGGGGGGACGACGACAACAACAACAGTAAGCATAATCCCCACCACGCATCCCTTCTTCAGCCACGCACCCAGGGACAATGAATGACCGTTCGGCCCCCTCATTTTGACATATATATATATATATATATGTATATATCCCTGGGGGCGAGGCCGGGGGCCCCAGGACAGGTGCCTCGACCCCCCACGGCGGGACGGGGGGGGCCTGGAGCCTCCCTGGAGCAGCCCAGGCGGCCCAAGAGTGCCCCAAGAGCGCTCCACGACAGGCCCAGCAGGCTCCAAGAGGCCCAAGAGGGCGCCAAGCGGGCCCCAAAGATGCCCAAGATAAGCCCAAGACGGCCAAAGAGGCCCCCAAGACGCTCCAAGAGGCCTCCAAGAGGCCCCCCCAGAGGGCCCCAAGAGGCCAATATCGTTCATTTTACGAAGGTTTTGGACACATTTTGCCTTTCCCGCCTTTTCAGCTTTCCGGCGCTCCACGACGGCTCAAAGGCCCCCCGCGGACGCCCCAAGACAGCCCAAGAGGCCTCCAAGAGGGCCTCAAGACGGCTCTGGAGGGAGAGGCCCAAGACGGCCCCAAGAGGGCCCCAAGAGGGGACCCGCGAACCGGAAATTCGAGCCTTCCGCCTCCACAGGGTCCCGGGAGGCCCCAAAGGGGCCCCAAGAGGCCCCAGGAGACCCCCAAGAGGCACCCAGGAGGCCCAAACAAGGCTTCAAGAGGCTCCCAAACAGCCCCGAGGAACCTCACAACGGACGGTGCGGACAAGTCGCATTTCGGACCGCCGCCGCCGCCGGTCCAAGAAAACGGCCTCCTGGACGCCATGCGCGCCGTAGCCTTCCTGCGGTGGCACCTCCCGCCCCGGGCCAGCGCAGAGGCCCTCGGATCCCAGAGAGAATTCTCCGCCGTCGTCGGCGTCGTCGTCGTCGACGCCGTCCCCGCCCTGGTCGCCCCTTGGGACCGCGCTCGCCCCTTCGACTTCTCGGCTCGCCTCCCACCGATGTTCTTGTCGCCCTTCGACTTTCGGAGGCTCCTCCCGGGGTCCTGGGTCCAGTGCTCCGGCCTCTCCAGAGCGCTTCAAGTGGCCGAAATCGGTAATTTCACGAAGGTTTTGGAGAGATGTAGCCTTTTCGGCTGTCCGACGTTCCAAGACGGCCCAATAGGCCCCCAAGATCGCCCAAAGACGGCCCAAGAGGGCTTCCAGACGACCCCAGAGGCGCCCAAGACAGCCCAAGAGAGTCCCAAGACGGCCCCAAGATGCGCCCAAGAGGGGATCACGACTCCAAAATTCGACCCTCCTGTTTGAAGAGTGCCCCAGGAGGCCCCAAGGAGCCCCCAAGGGGCCCCAGGAGGCTCCCGAGAGGCACCCAGGAGGCCCAAACGAGGCTTCAAAAGGCCACAAAACAGCCCCGAGGAGGCCCCACAACGGTCCCAAAACGGTTGCCGAGAATATGCGAAACTGCCTTCACGACGTTCCCGACAGGCCACCCACGAGATCCAAACCAACACCCATGAGGCCTCTGACCCACCACCTAGGGCACCCGCCGCCCGTTCGCCGTCCGCGTAGCACGCACCACTCTGTACTCAACAGCTTCAGTCTCCAAGACAACACCCTGTAGTCAACAGCCCCCGTCTTCAAGGCAACACCCTGTGCTCAACAAGCTCCCGCTGCAAGAGAGCACCCTTAAGGAATTCATTCAAATCCCGACCTGCCCGCCCGCCCGCCACCCGCCCGCCCGCCGCCTGCCTGGCCGCTCGCCCGCCTTCCGCGTAGCACGCGCCACCCTGCACTCAACAGCCTCCGCTTCCAAGACAACACCTAGCATTCAACAGCCCCCAGCGCTCCCGGGACTGTCCGGGTCCGCTCCCAAACACGCCACGACACGCCAAGAGGGCCCTAAAGATTGCCAAGACAGCCTCAAGAGGCCCCGGACACGCCGAAGATGGCCTCAGGACGGCCGACGACGCCGCCAAAACGCCCCAAGAGCGCCTTCAGAGCCCCCTCCAAAGGGCCCCGCATTTTTGCGCTCTCGCATGTTCCGCCTCCCCACGGTCCCGGACGGCGTCAGAGGCCGTTCAGATCGCTCCAAGACGGCCGAAGAGGTTCCCAAGAAAGACTAGAGATGGCCCAGGAAGCTCCCCAGATAATTCAAGAGGGCCTCGAGAGCGCCCCAACAGAGCCCCAAGAGCGACCCAAGAGGGCCCGAAGAGCGCGACATTTCAAGGTCTCCAGCCTGAGAGGCTCCTAGGACGCCCCCGGAGGCCATCACTCCCAAGAAGCCCCGTGAGGCTCCCAAGAGGCCTCCCGGAAGCCCCAATGAGTTCCCAAGGGACCCCAGGGAAGCCCCCTGCGGGCCCCCAAGAGACCTCGGTAAGTCGTATTTCCCAGAGCTTTCCGGGAACATGATTCCTTGGGCTTCCGCCCCCCGCCCCAACCATGTTTCCAATAGGCTTGCCGACAGGGCCACTAAGCAAGCCCCCAGAAGCCCCCTGTTAGGAGAGCCGAACAAATCATGTTCCTGGAACGCTTCCCGGGAACATGATTCTCGGGTCGCCGCTTTCCCCCCAAACCATGTTCCCCAAACGCCTGCCAGGATAAAAACACGAGAGTCCCAAGCAGCGCTACCTGCCGTCACGCTCGGAAGCGCGTCAGGCTCCGAAGCCTCCGGAGGCGCCCAACGACACCCCAACAAATCATGTTCCCAGGAAGTCTTACGGTCAGTGCCGCCGACGTTGAAGGAGGACGGTCCAGGACACCCAGAAATCTCCCAAACAGGCTTCCAAGAGGGCGCCGAGACAGCCCACGGCCGCCCCCAGACGGCCCAAGAAAACCCCAACACAGACGAAAAGGGCCGCAAGAGGCCCCCAGGAGGCCCCGAAACGAGGACATATCGTTCGAACACGCCCAAGATGGCCTCCAGACGGCCCACAAGGCTTCCAACACGGCCCAAAGGGACGCCAAAATCATTGATTGTCCTTCGATGTTTGATGGATTTCAGACACCCCACGAGGGCGCCGAGACGGCCCACGAGGGTGCCGAGACGGCCCAGGGACGCCCTGCCGCGGGCACGAGGTGGGGCCCGGGATGGGGCCCTCGCACCGGGAGGCCCGGGGCCCTGCCGTGGCGCTGGGGGCCTTGTAAAGTCGCCAGAAGACGGCCTTGGATTCCCAGAAATGGCGTCTCCAGACAACGAACACGACCAATGACCGCCCGAAATCACCCCAGAATTGGTCACTGACTGTCCAAGAGGCCTCCAAGACGCCCCAAGAGGTCTCCAAGATGGCTCCCAAGGAGCCCCAGGAGGCACAACTAATTTGTTCCTTTGGTTTTTGATCGATTTTCGAGTTCTCGCCTTTTGAGTTTCCTGACGCTCCACGCGAATGTTCTTGAAGTGTTTACATGATTTGGGCGCTCTCGCCTCTCCTGGTGGCCGACGCTCCAACGCGGCCCAAGAGACCTTCAAGACCACCCCCGGACGGCCAAGAGGCCGCCAAGCGGGACCCAAGACAGCCAGAGAGCGCCCCAAAACTCCCAAGGGGCGCCAAAACGGCCTAAGATGACGGCCCAAGCGAGGAAACACGAACCGAGAAACCGAGCCTCCGCCCCAACAGCCCCCAGGAGGCCCCAAGAGGCGCCCGAGACGCCCCAAGAGGCCCCAAAGAAACCCCAAAACGACCCCCAAGAGGCTTCAAAACTGACTCTAAGAGGCCCCCCGAGAGACCTCCCACGAGATCCCAACGAACATCCAGTAGACCTCGCACCCACAACCCAGACGCTGTGGCGGGACGGGCCGAAGGCCAATACTTACATGTGTATATGTATATATACATACATATATATATATATATATATATATATATATATATATATATATATGCGAACATAAACATATACATAGTATGTGCGTGTATATATATATATATACACTAGAACCATCGCGCGCGCTTCGCGCGCGCTCAGGTTCTAGCCCAGGCCGGGGGGGCGCTGGACGATTTTGGACAACGCTATGAAGCACAGGCGCGCGACGGCATCTGAGGAGCTTCTGGGGTGTTCCGCATGCTTCGTCAACTGGCTGTTGGAGGCACCTCTTGGGTGCCTCTTGGGGGGGCGTCTGAGGGTCCCTTGGGCGCATCGGTTCTGCAATCTGAAGCCGTCATGGGCCGTCTTGGCTGCGTGGAGGCCCGACTTGAGGCCACCTGCGGCCAGATTGACGCAATCCGGAAGCCTCGGTGTGCCAAAATGGGTGGCGGTCCCCGCATGCGACGGTGCCGCTTGGGCCTTCGGTGGAGATCCTTGTGGGGCCACGAGCCGTGTGAGGGGTGTACCAAAATGGGTGGCGGTCCCCGCATGCGGCCTGTGCCACTGGGGCCTTCGGTGGAGCTCCCTGTGGGGCAACGAACCGTGTGAGGGTCGTGTCAAAAGGGGTGGCGGTCCCCGCGTGCGACCTGTGGCACTGGGGCCTTCGGTGGACCTCCCTGTGGGGCCACGAACTGTGCGAGGGGTGTGCCAAATTGGGTGGCGGTCCC